CCCTATATTTTTAGTTTTACTTCTATAACATGTATATATATATATATAGAGAGAGAGAGAGAGAGAGATAAATTTCTCTATTTACCTCTCCTCTCCATCTCTCTCATCTCTTAATGAGTGCACTTGGGCACCCGTTAGACAAACTCACTATTATATCATAGTTCGGTCTAGGTATAACATAGAAATTCGCTTTGCATATACATAGTGTTACTTTTATTTTATTTATCATGTGCTTCTTGTATGAGTTGTGCATTTAACTTTTTCTATAGTAGCAAGATTATTTGCAATTGAGACGGGACAAATGAAATTCAATTTTATTTGGTTTTAAATTAATTTGGGTATCATTTTATATGGACTAGAAGTGACAATAGTTATAAATTACCATGGCCTAATTTAGCAAGGAGTCAAGAGAATAGTTAAGGGGTTTAACCTTTCATTAAGCCTTCAAATGGCCGGTTACTTTGGTCAGAGGGCTAACAATACTTAGGATTAAAATTAGTGAACCCTTCATTTAGAGGGGTTTAACAAATCCGCCTCAGGAGGCGAGTTAAAGATTTTTTTTCCCCTCTAGAAATAATAAATGAAACTTCAAGGAATAATAACATAATAACTAATTTGGGATATTTATGATAACTAACCTCCTTACTCGATCTTCTTATTTGCCAAACATAATAAGTTTAATCCTTCATCTTGACTATCCAATTCAAAAGTTATTAAATTATTTTTAATCCCTTGTGAAGGGTTAACTAAATTTTATCTTTTACCAAACGGCACCTATATATAGTTATCGATCATAACATTTCCCATCATTCTACTTTAGTAAGAAAGTAATTGATACATATATGTACCTATACATGCACCAAAATTTTCCAAATTACCTTTATATGTTTTACATGTTCATGATTAGCTCTCTTGCCATTTGAGAATGCGGAGTGCGTAAACAATCAAAGAGGAAAATTTAACGTGACTGTGGTGCTCATACATAAATGGTATTGTAGGCATGTGAACTTGACATGGAGAAGGTTAGTTTAGCAATTTAGAGAAGGAGAGCGACGTAGCCTTCTGTTTATTTCTCCCAAATGGCAAAATTCCTAAAGGACACTCTTGTGACGTGAGAGATAAAAGAGTTAGCAATGCAAGATTCCACTTTGCCAAGAAGATGCATAAATCCAATTATATTAAATCAAAAGGATGAAAGAAGCTTTTTATACTCAACAAATGCAAGAAATATCTGGGATAGTATGTTAGTTTTCTTTATAGTAGTGGCCCACGTTTTAGATTAGTGGTCATGATTTATGATTAGTTTTATAACTAATTACTTATGCTAAATTCCTATTGGTCAAAATAACTACCCACATTGATGGATTGTGAGTGGTTATTCTATTTAAAAAGCTTGGTCCTCTCTCTACCAGTTAATGTGAATAATTTCTCTCCATCAAGAAATTTTCGGAATGGCATAAGAGGGTTAGGAGAGAGAAACTCAAGTCTCAAAGATTGTTCAAGTTTCTTCAAGTTTCAAATCATGGATCAAGGTACGTTTTTCTTAATTAATGTTCATAGTGAAAATCATATGTTCTAAGATCTTGGTATTATGATGAGTAAATCAAAATAAAGTTTGATTTACTTAAGAAGTTATGTTTACATGTGGTATCAGAGCCTTGATTAAGGAACTTATGATTTTTCATCAATAATTCTATTACTGTTAATTAATTAAATGTTTAAAAATTTGCTAATAAGGAAACCCAGTTTGAGACACCTTCATGTTTGGGGCTGTCTTGCGGAAATACGAATTTATAATCCACATGAAAAGAAACTGGACTCAAGAACAACCAGTGGTCTCTTCATTGGTTATCCAGAAAAATCTAAAGGGTATAGATTTTATTGTCCTAGCCATAGCACGAAAATTGTTGAAACTGGAAATGCCAGGTTCATTGAGAATGGTGACATTAGTGGGAGTATGGAACCACGTAAAGTGGAAATCCAAGAAGTTAAAATGAATGTTCCTTTGCCTTTAACTTCTTCTCAAGTTGTTGTTCCTACAGTTGTTGAACAGTTTAACAACTTTCAAGAGCAACAAATAAATGATCAAACACTCCATGAAAACGTTGTTGCCAATGAACCTGCAATAGATATACCTCATGAAGAAGTAGCATTACGAAGGTCTCAAAGACAGAAAAAATCTGCTATTCCTGACGATTATGTGGTTTATCTACAAGAATCAGAATTTGATCTTGGAATTGATGAAGATCCGGTTTCATTTTCACAGGCCATGAAAAGCCATAATTCTGATAAATGGTTTGATGCCATGAAAGATGAGTTGAAATCAATGGAGCATAATGAAGTTTGGGATCTTGTAGAATTGCCTAAAGGTTGTAAAAGAGTTGGGTGTAAATGGATCTTTAAGACCAAACACGACTCAAATGGCAATATCGAACGATACAAGGCTAGACTTGTTGCCAAAGATTTTACTCAGAAGGATGGTATTGACTATAAAGAAACATTTGCTCCTGTTTCAAAAAAGGATTCATTTAGAATTATTATGGCCATTGTGGCTCATTATGATTTAGAGCTACATCAAATGGATGTGAAAACTGCTTTTCTAAATGGAAATTTAGATGAAGAAGTTTACATGGAACAACCCGAGGGTTTTTCAGTTGAAGGAAAGAAACACATGGTGTGTAAGCTTAAGAGGTCAATATACGGACTGAAACAAGCTTCCCGACAATGGTATCTTAAGTTTAATGATACTATTACATCTTTTGGATTTAAAGAAAACATCGTTGATCGATGTATATATCTAAAGATCAGTTGGAGCAAATTTATATTTCTGATTCTGTATGTTGATGATATCTTACTTGCTGCTAATGATCTTGGTTTATTATACGAGACCAAGAAATTTCTCTCTAAGAACTTCGAAATGAAAGATATGGGTGAGGCATCCTATGTGATAGGAATTGAAATATTCCGTGACAGATCACAAGGATTGTTAGGGTTGTCTCAAAAATCATATATTAATAAAGTTCTAGAGAGGTTCAAGATGGATAAATGCTCTGCATCTGTAGTTCCAATTCAGAAAGGGGATAAATTCAGTCTTATGCAATGTCCAAAGAATGAATTGGAACACAAACAAATGGAACAAATTCCTTATGCATCCATCGTTGGGAGCTTGATGGATCTCATGGAAAAGTGCGAAGCAGTCTGTCATTGCTGCATCGACTATGGAGGCTGAGTTCGTGGCATGCTTTGAGGCCACTGTTCATGGATTATGGCTGTGGAATTTTATTTCAGGACTTGGAGTTGTTGACAGTATTGCCAAGCCGCTGAAAATTTATTGTGATGATGCTGCAGCAGTCTTCTTTTCTAAAAACGACAAGTATTCGAAGGGTGCTAAACATATGGAATTAAAATACTTTGCCGTTAAAGAAGAAGTTCAGAAACAAAGAGTGTCAATTGAGCATATTAGCACAAATCTTATGGTTGCGGATCCGTTAACAAAAGGATTGCCTCCAAAGACATTTGGTGAACATGTTGAAAGAATGGGCATTATTGAAAACCATTACTAACTTTTATGTAAAGTTCATGCTCTTTATATATTTGACACTTTGAGCTCATCTAAATATTGTTTCTGATATTTAATGCATCCTGTTTATTATTGTTAGTATATACATAAATGATTATTTGAATGTTAACAGGATATGTCTCTGACAAGGACATTATTGTTGGATCATTATGATAAAGTCTTATTACAGGTCATGTTTAGTTTAAAACTAATATTGTGATACATGGAAGGGACTATGTCGATTAGCTGCGTATGACCGCCATGATCCTTATTAGTTTTCTACTTAATGATGAGTGATGGTTTGATCAATATGATGATGGAATTAGCTTACACTATGCATATTATGTTATATTATTAAATCATGACATTAAATTATAAAACATGGGACAAGTGGGAGAATGTTAGTTTTCTTTATAGTAGTGGCCCACGTTTTAGATTAGTGGTCATGATTTATGATTAGTTTTATAACTAATTACTTATGCTAAATTCCTATTGGTCAAAATAACTACCCACATTGATGGATTGTGAGTGGTTATTCTATTTAAAAAGCTTGGTCCTCTCTCTACCAGTTAATGTGAATAATTTCTCTCCATCAAGAAATTTTCGGAATGGCATAAGAGGGTTAGGAGAGAGAAACTCAAGTCTCAAAGATTGTTCAAGTTTCTTCAAGTTTCAAATCATGGATCAAGGTACGTTTTTCTTAATTAATGTTCATAGTGAAAATCATATGTTCTAAGATCTTGGTATTATGATGATTAAATCAAAATAAAGTTTGATTTACTTAAGAAGTTATGTTTACATAGTAATGATCAACCACCATTTTTCAAGAATCTCAAATTTGAAGAAACCTCATATATGATATATCTGTGATAATGGAGAGGAGAAACGACTAGATGCTTTTATTGTAGCCGTTAATTTGTTTAATGAGTGATAGTAATGCGTATTCATTCTTAACTGACTGTTTATGATTATTATATAATTATCAAAAATGCAGTAAGGTGTTAATAATTAAGCAGAGACGCCGCTGAGGCGGTTCTTCCAGTTCCGCAGAATAGGGCCCCTCACTGGGGGGGTGGGGGGGGCAAGTCACGCAAACGTCTCCTGCGAGCGGAGAACCTAGGGCGAGCGGCAACGAAATTTAGGATTTTTTCTTTTTGGTCCTTCTCCTCGATTCTTTAAAGTAAAGTTGAAATCTTGCAAACGGGTTTTATTTAGTGGGAAGTGAATCCAAGGGTGGAGTTTATGTTCTTCAGATTGATGAGACCTATGAGTTCTGCGCACCTCGATTCTTCGATTTCATGAATGAGGAGAGTGAGGATGAGGTCAAGAGCGCCGAGCTCTAGTTCGAGATCTCTCAAAGCTATGCTCCATCTTGTACGTTTTCTTGAACCCCTTTCCTTTTAATTATTTCAAGGGTTTTTAATTATCTGCGATTTTGGAGATGTGGATCAAACTGACGAGGTGATTTTTCCATTCTTACGGTACGGTAATTAGTTGGAGGATTAAATCTAATTCTTATATCAAAATGTGATTTTTGTTTCTTTATTTTATTTTATAGAATAAAGAAGATCTGATTCTTATATCAAGATGTTACAACTTGTGCCGAAGAAACAACAAGGTTAGTTTGAAGGTTTAGTCTCTTTATTTTAAAAAAAATATTTCTATGGTTTATTTTAGTCTTAACCGATGGTACTATTTCTTGTATTAATCCAGAGGTGCCCAGAATTCTATTGTTGTTGCGGAAGCTGGAGCAGGCAATTGGAAAGAAATGAAGGATGGGAGGATGTCCTTTGAATTTGTAAGTCTATGTTCTTTTCACAATGAAAATAGGTTCTTTTTTTTTCTCGTTAGTTGAAAGACAAAAAACAAAGTGTAGATGTTACACCACAGATGGACCACTTCATCAATAATAAGTGACTGGCTTTTGATTCATGTAATTGATGTGTTTACATGCCACAGATGGACCACTTCATCAATAATAAGTGACTGGCTTTTGATTCATGTAATTGATGTGTTTACATGAAAAAAATGTTAGAGACCCAGTGGAACTCAGCAGTCTGGTGAGGAAAATTTCAGAGTTCATTATTTTCTATTACTGGTTGATCAAATTATTGGTTCATTAGAGAGAAGATTTGAACAGTATCAGACATACGAGAATATTTTTGGGTTTTTATTTAGACCGGAAAAGTTATGTGCATATCTTGCAAACAGTGTTAAGAAAGGAAGTTGTTCTGATGTTGATGGAGATGAATTATTTACAGAGTTGCTAATCTTACAAAATATGTTGTCATCAGAAAATATAAAAGCTATTGACATATAAAAACAATCATTAGTTTCTTCTGAAGATTAATTAAGAGGCCCCAGTTAAAATTTAGAATCAGGCCTCCAAATTGTCAGTCAAGCCTCCGTAATTAAGTTTACATAATATATGGCGCAGCTAGAGTCACGACCATGACAGTGGGGAATTATTCAACTGTTCATATAATAAATATTTAATTAAATTAGTTGTTTGACTATAACTAGCTTTCCATAATAATTAAGCAAAAAATCACGAGGGGCCTATACCCTTGCGGACTTCATGGCACCCTAGAATAGGGAAGAATAACTTCAAGAAGAAGAAATGATAATGTCTTAAAACAAACAAACAGAATAGTACTAGCTAGTATTAATCCTCAGAAGCACATGCAAGGCCACTTGCTCCTCCTGACGACATTTTGAATTCCGAGGCTATACTGTGTTCGAACATAATATTCCAGCTGAACCATCGCGTCAATATCATTCGTCTTATAATCTGCTATTATTATCACTTTCACATTTAAGGCCTTCTTGTTTATTCCTAATTACTTTGAATTTTACGGAAGCATGCTTTCTGTTGTGCAGTGAAACTTTGTTGGTTAGCTATAAAATATTTCTTTTTTCAACAGTGTCATATATATTCAGAGATTTGAATCTATTATAGGAGCTACTACGAGCTGTGAGCATCGACGTTTTATGATTTTTAACCAACCGAATTAACCCAAGTAAACCAAAGTGAATTATGAAATACTTTTTTTCAGTTGCGGGTTGCACCAAAGGCGTTGGTTAGGGGCTCGTCGTAAGCCCATGGGCTTTAAACGAAAGTTAGCACCAAACTAACGCAATAAAGCTGCGACCGCTAGATACGAAACCCAACTTTTCATTTAATTTCATTATTCTTTCTAAATCTTTCAAATTATTTTACTACTTTACCCACGTTTAAATTTCTAACGTTATCCCCTATTTAAATTTCTGACGCTATTCCTTTTCATTTTTGAGTATTAACTCAATTATTCACAAGAGACAATGGGATCTCTACACAATCTTAAATGCCATCCATGATCTACAGCCTATAGGTTCAGATAGCTATGGTCTACATCAGCAACCACGGACAACAATATGGCTATAAGCCTAGCTATCATCTTCATCGTAGGATTTTACATCTAATTGTGTGTGACCATTTAAAAAGAAAAAAGAAGTAAAAATAGGGTAAGATGCTCAATCAAAAGATATATTATATAAATCCCTTAGTAGTTTATATCAATTTTCAGAAATTGCTATCCTAGCTATTAAATGGTAATTAGAAAGAGGAGCAGATCTTTGTCGTCACTTTTTACAGTATTCCATCGAAACGGTAGGAAGACAATTTGAATAAAAACCAATATACACTATTAGGGAAGAGCAAAACTAAGCGTCAGAACATTATATATGAGCTGATATGCCCAGCTTAGCGGCTAACCAAACAAAACCATAGTGTATAATAAGCATGAGAGAAAAAACTGAAATATTGTTCACATCTTAGAAACAAATCAAGAGCTTTTTCTTTCTGTTTGTGCTGTCCCCACTTGAAGGAACAAGTTCTGTTATTCCCTTCTCAGCTCCTTGGTGATGTTCTTAGAAAACAAATTGTTGCATGCTGATCTCAAGATACACAAACGAACGAAATGTTGGGAATAAATATTATTCCCCACACAAACAATCAATTAATAATAAGCAGCCTGTATAAGCAAGTTTAGTTAATTAATTAATTAAGGGCACTGGAAACCGGTGGGGACATTTTTGCCACGGTAGTTAAGGAGAAGGCTGAGATCGACGGGGACATTGAGGTTGATCCCCAGTATGTTAGCTATATGATGATAGTGGAGAGGCAGACGGCGGCCTCGAGGTCGACCAGGTTTTTGAGCAGGGAGCAGCAGGGCTTCTTGTGTGCTTTGCCGATGTTGAGGTTGATAAGGCCATTGAGCACGTTGGCGCACACGCCCAGCTTTAGGGTGTCCATGGGGCACTTGCCCTTGGTTGAAGTTGGGCCGGGCTTGGGCTTGGGAGATTGTCAGACAGCCACCATCTCTGACAAAGGAATGACAAAACAGGCCCATAACCGTTTGGAGGTCGATCGCACAAATGCGACCGGTCGACCGGCCAGAGGGCTGAAAAACAACCCTGTAACGTGCACATTTTCGGTCGATCGCACAAATGCGACCGGTCGACCGGCCAGAGGGCTGAAAAACAGCCCTGTAACGTGCACATTTTCGGTCGACCGTCCATACCAATCCCGTAATTCAACAATCTGTCGGTCGACCGAGCCTATGCCGTTGGTCGACCGACCCGAGGGATTTCTTGTACTCGTGTTTTTGCATAGTTTTCTCAAATCATTCGCCATTTTCTACCGTCTGGGATTGAGAGGAGAAAATAATAGAGGAGATGGTCAAAAGGAAAACGTAAAAGAGCGTATATAAGAAATGAGGGACAAGGGGGAGAGAGGAGGGAATGTTGGGAATATAGAGAAGAAGAGAATGGAGGAGATGGTAGGAAGGATGAGGGAGGAGATGGTGGGAATGGAAAGTTTTTTTTTACAAACTTTAAAATACGTGGAGCGGAGAGACAGCTTTATCCGAGAAATATGGTAGATTGAGGAGTCTATATGAAAAAAGCCAATTATTTTTTCACTTGAAAATTACCCTTGGCAATAGGATGGGCCTATTTATTGTCGTATTGGTGAGTTTTAAGGTTAGAGTATCGTCGGCATCAGTTTTTAGTTTAGAGTGATAAAATGATGTAAGATTTTATATCAATATGATACTTTAGCCATATTCTTTAACCCAGAAAAAAAACCAACCAATTAACACGTTTCTTTTCATCTTAATGACATTGTCTAATATATAGTCGTACTAGACATTCATTTTTTCAAGCCAATCATTAGTACATAGATTTCTTTATGCTTGGCAATTGTCCTCTTCCTAGAATTTAGATCCTTTTTATCTTTCCTCGTCATTCGTGAGATCATGATAGGACCTAAATTCCATCGGACTTTCCATTACACTAAATAAGGAAAATGAAAGAATGATATTATGATAGTTACCTAATTCTAAGTTAACTTATAAGTCTCTAATTTCCTACATCGAATGTAACTAGTCAATGAGTAATCCAAATAATTAAAATCCACTGAGAGAGATAGTAATCGATGCTATTCCAACTAAATATGGAAACTCACGTCAGAACTATATGAAGCTTATCGTATAAATCATTTGTACATTTAGCTTTGATTATCAACCGATCGACTAGTCTTTGGTTAAGAGAATGAGGCCATGGGCCTACGACAATTTTCACTGTACTTCTATCCAACCTCTAAGTTACACCTAAATTTGAGAGTTAAATCAATAGAGAAAGATACAATGTTATCTCTAAGACACCAAAATTTTTCATTCACCAAAAAAAAAAACTCTAAAACCCGTCTCACCAAAAATCCCCAAACACCTGTAGAGAAACGAGCACCGCACCCTCGACAACGTCGTCGTTCTGAAGACATCGACTTTTAAATCACTTCAATCGGACAATCTTCTTACTCTAGTATCAATAATTGCTATAAATAGTTATAAAAAAGTTATTCAAATTCAAATCATCTGAAAAAAAGACAAGAATGGTATAGCCTTTCCCCTTCTGATATTTACGCACCCAAATGTTGAAATTATAGCTCCCGCTTTCCTATACTAGCTTATATTATCACATGCTATCGAAAAATACAGTGTTATCTCTAAGACACCAAAACCCTAAAACTCGTCTCATTAAAAATCCCCAAACACCCGTAGAGAAACGAGCACCGCACCCTCGACGACGTCGTCGTTCTGAAGACATCGACTTTTAAATCATTGCAATCGGACAACCGAGCTATACTGAATCTGAACTTCTCTCTCTCTCTGTCCCTTCTTTTTTCCCTCTCGGTACTGTTTACAGTACTATAGCCGACACTGTATCAACGAAAAAAATACAGATTTCTCATATATAGAATTCACCAAATCTATTCCCATTTCAAATAGATCATCCAAATCCAATTCTAAATAAAGTTTTAATTCATGTGAACCTCGTATGGACCTTATCTTAGGATGGACCCACAACATAATCTATGTTCATTCTTTATCTATACCGGTTTTTTCTTGGACTGTCTCAGGCAATCCTCATTTAAATTATTTTAAATTAGCTTAGAGGAATGAGTAAACTTATTGGGCTAGGGCCCAATAATCAACATTAGCTCCGTCCGACTCGGGGTTTTGCTTGTGACGTGGATCGCCTATGTCAGACAAGTACAATATAAGAAGGAAGACAAAGTCAACATCAGCTTAGGTGTCACAGAACCGTGCTTTGCGAATTTAGCTCCGGCCAACTCGGGGATTTGCGAATTTTGTCATTGGTTTAACTTACGTTTGATCAGCATCAATAACCACAAACAATATGCTTTAATACTTTGACATCTATTAGTGATTGAGGAATCTTTTCACATATTAACATATATACTTTTAATTGCTTGCACACCATAAAATGCAAGATGGACCATTCATCTAATTAAAAAGTTTGGAAAGAGTTAATAAAGTTTCAGAAAATCATTTAGTTTTGAATAAC